TAATGATATCTTTAATTCTCTAATTTTGGTGAATATTTTTGTCATTTTTGGTAAAATGTATACTGTACCCTGGGTAATGTCAAGGTCAATGGTAGATTGATATATACTGCACCCTGGGTAATGTCAAATGGGTGATGGATGTATATGTACACTGTACCCCAGGTAATGTCAAAGGTCACAAATGAGCGCTCCAGTGCTGTCAAATGAGGTCACAACAAGACATAACGGTAATGCATTATCAAGTGCGATTGAGTGAACAATGAGTGAAATATTCAGCAACCAAACTGAATAAGGGCAGCCTTCTACTAATCAATAATGAAACAAGAGAGCTGGATATAGTCTTTGATAATATGTTCAAAATGAACAATGATACATCAGTAATGCATAGCTTGCAGTTAACATTTTAACTCACTTGTTGAATATGTATGTTACCTATATATTTACTATAGTCAGTTAAGCCAAGTGAGTTACTACATGGATGTCAATTTTACTTGCCCTGGGCTATAGAACTACCCTTATTAGGCCCTGTAATGAGACAGAATACACTGGCCACCTATATTAATTAATTTTGTTAGCAATTGGCTTAATATTACCCCCAATGGATTGTTGGCTGTGTAAGTTTGGTATTTCCCCCCTGATTTGTAGAAAAATGAAAATCCTTGTCTCTTTATTTAGTTTCAAGTCATATTCAAGATGGCTGCCTCTATATATTAAATATCGGTAAATATCACATTTATTTTATTATCACTTGTATGCCAACTGACTATAGAAGTAGACATAAACCCAAAAATGAATTAATTGTAAGTAGGTCATTGAAACATAAAACACATGCACTACTAACAGAGCAAATACAATAATCATATTTTTGTGTTCTTACCTTCTTCTCTGAAGGCTATTGGTCATTCCGATGTCAATCGTCAACTCAGCATTGGAGATTGTCAACAACAAATCACCATCAACCAGATTGTTGGAAAAGTTCTCAATAAAAGATTCAAATCCACAGCCTTTCAACCAAATTGACACATGACGCACTTCCCAGTTAGCAATATTGTCCCCTAATTTCTCAGGCACATGTTCTCCAAGCGCAGTCAAGGCTTGGATGGCGAAATTGGATGCAATATCATTGTTGCTACTTGCTAGTATTTGTAATGGTTCAATAGCACCAATGTCAGAAAATACCTGCAATTGAATAAATTAAAATTATATTTTGTTGAAACCAAAACAAATGTTACTGAACGATTTCTAGTGATGACACTGATTGGTCCAAAGGACAAAAAAAATATTTTATGTTGCTGACTCAAACCATTATCAAACAAAACTTTGAGATTTATTGAAATGCTAATAATAATTGTGAGAAAATGTAACTTACCTGTTCATGATTTACATGTCATAGAATGTAGTACAGATGTCACTGCAAGGGATGTACAACAAATCTATTTATTGTAATCAAAGTATTTTTTAACAAATTTTTGGGAATGTAGTTAGATATAATCATACATGAAGACCACATGGTGAGAGTATTATCAACTAACAAGTAGTTAAGACCAATACAATCACATACTGTGTCTATCCTGGTATTCGCAAGTAATAATATTATTAATAATAACCATAATTCTATTAGTTACAAACATTTGTTTTTCACAAGCAACTGCACAACCTAGCCAAAATAAAATACTATCAATATATCTTGATATCTTTGGGCTGATATCATTTTAATATCAGACTTTTGGCTGATATCATTTTATCAGACTTTTGGCTGATATCATTACAATAACAGACTTTGGGCTGATATCATTTTAATATCAGACTTTTGGCTGATATCATTACAATAACAGACTTTGGGCTGATATCATTTTAATATCAGACTTTTGGCTAATATCATTAACAGACTTTGGGCTGATATCATTACAATAACAGACTTTGGGCTGATATCATTTTAATATCAGACTTTTGACTGATATCATTACAATAACAGACTTTGGGCTGATATCATTACAATAACAGACTTTGGGCTGATATCATTTTAATATCAGACTTTTGGCTGATATCATTTTAATATCAGACTTTTGGCTGATATCATTACAATAACAGACTTTGGGCTGATATCATTTTAATATCAGACTTTTGGCTGATATCATTACAATAACAGACTTTGGACTGATATCATTTTAATATCAGACTTTTGGCTGATATCATTAACAGACTTTGTGCTGATATCATTATAATAACAGATTTGGCTGATATTATAAGAACAGACTTTAGGCTGATACCATTTGAATAACAAACTTGGCTAATACCATTATAAGAACAGACTTGTGGCCGATATCATTTAAATAACAAACTTGACTTATACCATTATAAGAACAGACTTTAGGCTGATATCATTATAAGAACAAACTTTAGGCAGATATCATTATAAGAACAGACTTTTGCTGATATCTTTATAAGAACAGACTTTAGGCTGAAATTATAAGAACAGACTTTAGGCTGATATCATAAGAACAGACCTTTGGCTAATACCATTATAAGAACAGATTTTTAGCTGATATCATTTGAATAACAAACTTGACTAATACCATTATAAGAACAGACTTTTGGCTGATATCATTATAAGAACAGACTTTGGGCTGATATCATAAGAACAGACTTTGGTTATTATGTAATGTATTACAATGTAGACCTGTGGAAGTGTGATGAGAATTCTGAGATTTAGCATACTATACATATAGATCAATAAAAGACGAAAGGAACCAGTGTTATCAACTTTTACCACGGGTAATTTACTGGTCATCAACCCATTTGGCAGA